GACTCTTTTCTGGGAAGGAGAATTAGAAATTTCATAGCAGTTTATATTTTCCATTGCAGTTTGCCTTTTTTGAACTTCCCCCTTATTGATGAAAATCTACATTCTTCTATAAAAAACTGAAAAAACGAAAGAATATTTTTCTTCTCACAATCAACATTTTCCACAGGATTGGTTTAATAAATAAATAAATAAATCACTCTTCTTGCTCTAGGTTCTTCAGTACTCGCGGGCAGGCTGATTATCAGAACTGAGAGAACTTCTAACAAAATGTCACAAATTCCAAATGCAAACATATCAAAAAATGAAATATAAAATTAAAAGCTGTGTCATTACTGACTTGGAGTAAACATGTTTTTTAAAGGTATTAATTTAAAATAACAATATTCCCTTTTTTCTCCACATTCTTTGGTTTAAGATTTACTAGAATGTGGCAAAGTTTCTCATTACCGAAGTAATATTTTAGGCAAATGATCCACCACTTTGTAACACACAAAAGTTGAGAGCTTCATCTGAGATTTTATAATCCATCACAGTTTGTAAGTATATTTAAATGTCTTATTTTCCTTTCCAGATTCAGTTTAACTCCCCTTTCTTCTTGAAAGCAAATCCAGAGCAGTAATCTTAACTGGGAAGTAACCTGTGTTGCACAGAATTTTGCAAAGTCAGCTGATTGAAACTCTTTCTAAGAGTGGTCTGATATACAGATACATAATTGCTACTTGAAAATACACCTATTAAATACATAGTATCGTGAGAGGGTTCTTCAGCAGTGTATTGCTTCTTGTCTACAGTTTGCATAATATATGCAAAGTTTGCATAATAGTGCTGCTTTCTGTATTTCTTTGCTTCTGCACTTATTTCTACTCAGGACAATTTCAGCTGCTTGCAGAAAATGAGAAAAATATCTTAGAGGAGTCAACAAATAATTAAATGGTGCAGCAGAAAGGGGCTGATCCAACATGGTCATGCCAAGGGAGCACAAAGCTGCAGGGGTGAAAGCAGAGCACAGGAAAGGGATGCATGCCAACATCAGGTAGTGCTAATATGGGAGTGTATAGATGGAAGATGCTTCTGCCACCCCAAATACCACTAAATCCTAAAAGAAATAGTGAGAAAAAAGCAGTGTCTCTCTCTCTTCATGGTGTTCTCAGCATCTGGTACGAGCTCTACATAAAATTTCAGAAGTAAACATGTAACACAATACACTGCATGACTCTGTGAGGGAAGTGACACCTCTCCCGCACTGTACGTTCGTGAAGAAGCATACCATTGAAGACACATGCAGAGAAATACAGAAAGACTAAATTTTTCCACTCTCACCTTCTTGCACAGCCATCTCAGTCTCACTTTTCTGTGAGAAGGTCAGTGCCTCCACTGGCTCTTCCTTTGCTGGGAGAGGTGGAGGAGAAGTACCTTTAGCAACAGGTTGAGTAATCGGGGTCTTGCCAATGACAGGTGGCTGTACTCTAACTGCAGGGTGATGATATAGCTTGTTTCTGTGAGGGCCAGAAACCGTATAACCCATTCCACCAGGGCAGATTTCCTTAAAAGCAGCTAGATTTGGGATGGGAAAATATTCCTTTTAGGAGTCTAAAAGTGCAATATGTTGACATAGTGGAAAATATAATGACTACCACTAATAAATTTAATCTCATATTGTATATACATTTTTACATAAACTACTTAAAGACAAGCTATGCATTGCATGCTACATTGATGGAGCAGTCTCCCAGAAGCATGTTCTGGGTGTTATTCCCAGGAGGTTTACACTCCAGTTTAACATCTTTCTTCAGTTATGTTTAATCTATCATTATAGCAAGATAATTTTTTGGTATTAATCCTCTTCAAACTGTATATCCTTTCTGAGTATGAGTTTAAATATGCAAATTTTCATAATCATCTACACAGCACAAGTAATGAAGATCACTAATTCTCTCATTCTTTTTTGCAGAAACCAAAGGAAAAAAGCTCACCACCCCTGTACTAAAGGAGCAGAAGAATATCAATCAGTAACAACATTCATTCACAGGATCCCATTTGACTACATCAGAGGCCTCATACCAGCCCTGATCCAAATTCCACTGAATTGAGTAAGTCTTTCCACTGACTTCAGTGGGCTGGATAAAAAACAAAATGGGAATCATAAAAAAACAAATTACCACTGTAAGAGAGGGGAAATAATCTCATTTATAAAGCTGCTACAGAAAACGTTACTGAAAGTCAGGCAGCAACACTTGCTCTGATCTCTGCAGCTGCTCTACATGATACCAGGTTTTGCAGTCCTAGTGGAAGACTACAATCAAAGAGACATACAGGTCCCCCCATCAAAGGTAACAGCTATGCTTCTGTTAGGGACAGGGAGACCTTCAAGAGTCTTGAAGGGGCAGTGCTTCATTGTCCTCATTGCTCTAGGTAAAGCTATGTTGGGATGAAACACCAAAGATTTAGTCTCCCATCTGCCTAATGTCATATATTACAGCTTCTTAAAGAGACGTGCCCAATGGGGCATTGGTAAGTTCACAAATTCTGCTTTGAATACGAGGGTTTTAAAACGAAATAGTATTTAAAATAAAACCACAAAATACCAGCTCAGGTGTGCCACAGATGAATTCAATAAATTTTACATTAAATTGCAGTATGCATTAATTTCATACTGTGTTCTGATGGTGTCCTAGTAATAGAAAAGATGAAGGGTCAAACTGATTAAATTGAGTGAATTCAAAATATTGGAACACTTTTTGCTGGGAAGTGCTAGTGTTAAAACTTTCCACAAAAACACCAACTGAAGATGGAAATCTTGGTCAACCAGGAGAAAATTTGATGCTTGTCCCTTCTGATGCATACTCAGGATGTAGGAAATCTTGTTTCAAGTCATGTTCTCTGACAAGGGCTATTGACACCTGAGTATATAAACCTGGCCTCTCTCAGTCTCTTTTTTTGAGCCAGTCTACTTTGTACAAATATTTTAAAAGCTATTGGAGTGAGACCATGACTTCTTAATTCAATGCCTCCTAAATTAACATGGGATGCTGCAGCAAATACTTTACCCCATTCTGGAGTATTCCACTTTCACACAATTTTCATAGAATACTCTGAAAGATTACGAATTTAACCTGTTATAGAAAGGAACATGTTTTTAAATCATGAAAGTTGTCATGAAATGGGAAAAGTGTTTCCCACACAGGTCATCGGAATTTTCTACTCATGGATTTTCTCTTACATATTTTCATTAACTAAAACCACTATAATAACCAATTCCACATAATATTCAATTATGTATTTTTTATGACTAGAGAGCAGTCAACAAAAAGACTTATTTTCTGCTCCAGCATACACACGACTGGGCATAAAGTCTTATGCAATATTCTCTTAAATGTAAAACATCTGCACTTAAATTGTGAGTCATTTGAGGAAAAATATATTTTTACTCCAGTAAAAGGCCATAGAAATGTTATTTATCTGAAAGTGAACTGGACTTTAGTCAAGCAGGAAACAGTGGCTTTAAAAATCAACTGAAATGCTCAAAAATATTTGCCACTTCCACTTCTGCAAGCCCAACTTAAAGATGTAAGGAATCTGCTGCTCTCATCATGACTCTGATGCTCGCTGTGATTTCCCAGAGCAGCTAGCTGGTTTTGAAAATCTGAATCTTTATAAAATAGTCCACAGAGATGCATGACCTGTATCACAGCAGTAACATCTGCAGTGACTTTGGAAAGAGCAGTGGATTACCATTACAAATACCTATGCTAAAATACTGAACAGGCTGGACATCATGTATATTACATAAATCAATGATGCTTTAAAAAAAAAAAAATTGACCATACATTTGGACAAACTGATTTGACTAAAGACTCCAACCTTGGTCATTTAAATTTTAAGCAAAATTAGGAAACAGAAGATACTTGAAAACAGCAATGTATAATATATGTCGTATTATAATCTATGAGCAGCCTAAGTTAGTGTGGTGACCAAACAGGAGGGTGTTTTCCAAGTCCTTACGTATTTAAAAACCAGCAAGACACCAAATGAGTACTAATAATACAAGTAAAGATTTATGTATCAAGTAAGCAATTGCTTAAGTGAACGGTGGCATGACATGTTTAACTTTGTTTCTTGTAAAGAAACCGTACTTGGCACATTCCTCAAAGTGGATGGTAAAGATATGAAGGAAAGTTAGAAAGCAGTGATACTCCCATACATATCCCACTAACTGTAATTGTAAACTACAACACATGTCTTTCTGTGACCTAATTCTCAAAAGCTGTCATCCTTTTACTAGTGTCTTTAACAACTGAAGAATATTAATTAGATTTTGGGTTAATTTGCCTTTATCTGTAGTCAGAATATAATGTACAATAAATTTATCTTCATGTGAGGGAGAATCGAAGTTCAAGGACATATTCTGAGATGCAAGTGTCATTAATCTGGAATTCTACCACAACATATCAAAGATAATTATTTTGTTTTAATCTCAAATGCCTCTGAACAAAACTACTATATATGGGGTGATTCTACTATCATGTAAAGAACTTTCATAATTTACTGATGGACACTTCTTGTTTCAAATCAGTTCCTGGGGTTTTATTTTTTTCTTTTTTTTAAGCATGCATAACAAACACAGACTGGGGGCAAGAGTTTGTATTTTTAATGGTCAGTTCTTACCTGTTCCTGGAAGTGGACACTTCTCACAGTTCGGGCCCCAGGCTTTGCCAACACTGCAACAGCAAAGCTGCTTGCTGAGCTGAACAGAAAGAGGATGCATGCATTGCTTTCCTGCACTAACAAACCGGTAGCAGGGTCCTTTCTCTTCAGCAACTACAGGATTATCAGCTGCAATGAAAGTGGAAGAGAGGATGGCATTGTTCATATGAACAGCAAAACAGAGAAACAACACGAGATTTCCAACACCACTTAAATGGATTAATATTACCATCTACAGAAGTTTTATTTCAAACACCTATCTCAAGCCATGATTCTTACTATGCATCAAACAACATCCTAGACCAAGGATAAAAAATATTCTAAAGAATAAAAAAGCCCAACTCCCAAAACCAAAACCCAAAACATTTTCCAAACCAGCAGTTGCCAGGCTGCCACTAAGGGTCAGAATCAGCGCTGTCACTTGTACACAAGTCCAACTGCTAAAGAGTAGGGTCAGTCACTGGCAACATACAGTTGTGTCAAGCTATGTAGCCACTGGAACATTCAGCTTTTAGTAGGCTATATAACTAAGACTGCAAAAGGATTAAGATTCATACATGACACATTATAAAAAAGACAATTATATATTTACATTTTGTTATGCTTAGTTTTAATGTGGAAGAGCCAAAGACCGTAAGCTATGACTAGTAGGAGGTAACGGGAAGCTAAGATCCACCCAGCTTTCTAATTTATGCATCCACTTTAACATACAGTTAACAGTTCTGGGTAATGCATTCATTTAACTCAAAAAACATGAAGACTATCTGATTTTCAACATGACAAGTAAAATCAAAAATGAAAACCAACTCCTTTTGTCTGGTGCTAAACTGGTAAGTCCTAAAAAATTCTTCAAAATACTGAAAAACATTCACAGTAATTGAGTGTCATTTATTCATAGTGAAAGATAATCATGCTGAAAAAATGAAAAAATTCACCTACAGCTCTAGACTATATTTTACAAAATAGATAAGGAGCTTAGGAAATGAGGTTATTTTTCACTTTTAAATGTTTTCCAAAAAAAACCCCCCTTAAAAGCGAGAAAATTAGTTGCTCTTTATGCTTTCTTTTCTTCTTGCTTAGGTAATTGATTTTAAACCAAGTAAAAGCTGATTAACAGAGGAAATTATCTGCATTCATGCTGTTCACAACTTTCTCTTTCTCCAAATTCTTTCTTAATTTTTAATCCTTCTTAATCGGAAAGAAAATGTGCCAAAGATCATCCTGCACTAAATGTTTAGCAATGGAAACTACCCAGGTCAAAGCTGCAGAGGTGGAAGAGGAGAGGGCAGGACACAAAGATGATTTTGGCCGGGAAACTAGGAGAGTGGGAAAAAAAGAAAAAAATCATGGGAAGGAAAATCCAAGCTGGTGGGAAAGACTGAGTGTATGAGGAGGCTGAATGTGGCCTTGAAGGTTTAGTGACAAGAAAACCAGAAGATGGCAAGGATCCTGGATAGTCACTGATGGAGACCAAGGCTGCCAGGACAAAGAGACAGAAAAGAGGCACGAGTACGAAGTCTCACTCAATAAACTGAATATGCTGATAAGATGAGGCAGGAATGTCAAGAAAGAGACAGCTTAGAAGAATTGGGCCTAATCAAATAAATCCTCATCTAAAGTGCGACTAAATATCTATTTTGGTACTTTGATTAGCACTATTACTTACGTATGCACCTGGAGAGGGTAGGATCTGGCACAAATCCCATTTTGCAAGTACATCTGTAGCTGCCCATGGTATTCAAGCACTCACCATTAGGGCAAACTCCCTGTAACTGACACTCATTGATATCTGTGGGAAAATTGAAAATAATCAGATAGTGAAACATGCATTAATATTCTCCTTTCTTTAGAAGTTATCTTTTCTAAAAATACGTGCAGAACTATTACAAATTAGCGCTCCAAACAAAACTTTTTCCCATACTGACGACATTTGATTTATAACCTTTTAAAACACTGCTGAGAACATAACAGAACAACAGTCACATTAATACATCATTCTCAAGTAGTCTGAATTAAAAAACAAATACACTTTGACTGGCTTATCAACCCCTCTTTTCCTGACTCAGTGAATTGTTTGCATAGACAAAGTTTTCGGTGATGTAGTGTATTTTATGCAGTTTAAACAGTACACTTAATTCAGGCTTGGATTTTTTTTGATATTTGTATTTGGTAGTGCCCGAAGGTTCATTGTGCTGGAAGAAGCACAATGCAAAAATACCATCTCTAGCCTAAAGAGCTTACCATCTAAATGCCATGAATATATTTCAGGAAGAGCAGAACAACACATGGGGTGAAGAGAATTGCATCCGTGGAAACTCAGCTTTGTAATAATTAACAACTACTTTGACAAAGTTTACTGTTCCCAGGCTACCTGCATCAGTGTCCCTTTCAGGGTCTCACCGATTTATTCTCCCATGTTCCAAGCACTGGGCCTCAGGCCTTTATCACGCTTGGGGCTGTACCCATAATTCACTTACTCTTAGAATAGGACCTCTCTGACAATCATCTGGATACTATCGGTAACTAAGTCAGCCAAACTGTGATTTTAATTAAGGGGACAGTAACAAGTAGCTTGTACTGATAATAAAAACCACAAAATAATAAAAGAAAATACCCCAACCTTATGTCTCTGTCATAAATTGTCATGTCTCCTCTTCCAGAAAAACAGAGTCTGCATGCTGAAATAAACATACTTCAGCATTTATGTGCATTATTTATATGTAAGACTTTCCCTCCCTAAGCTAGGAAAAAATGCCTACCTTGCTAGGTAAATAAGCTACAAGTGGAAATCAGATACTCCAACTAGCTCATTGGAGATCACGTATCAGTGATCATTTTATCTAAAACACATCATATTTATTACCTTTCTCTTAGTTTTTATAAAACCTCTAAAACCTTCACCATTTTATTTGACCTCATTGTATGTTGCTGCCTGATTCAACACTATCAATCAGTGAGGGTAAGAAGCTGAATATGTAAAATATAAGAGATGTGCTGGAGTTTGCTTTTGGAAACCTACAGAAAGAATCTTCCATTTTCTGACCACATTCTTCGTTTTTCTCCACAAGTATGACTACCTGTCCCACCACACAGGAGCGCACAACTTAAGTTCACGGTACAGCAGACTCCAGCAGTTGTGATTTTTTCCAAATTTTCAGTGTTGAGCTTGTGCCTCAGCTCTTCCAATGCTATACCTAATCCAGTATCTTGACACCACCTGGATCAACTTCACATCTATGCACTTAGCCACACATGACAAAGAGTGATAATTTATATCCTAGAACTTTGTATGAAATGTGATGGAAGCCACATGAATTACAAAGGATCAGCTCTGCCTCAAAGGAATTTTCAAGTGAAATTCCCAGACTACATGACTTTCTGACCTCAGAGGGAATGGACTATCTAAAAAGGAGATTGATACACAAAAAAAAAAGCACAAAACCCTGCTGAAATAGTCTCCTACAGCAGTCTGCCTTTTAACCCATCTAATCCCATCTTTCAGTGGGAAGATGTCCCACAAAAGCACAGGAGTACCTTATTTAAGGATTGCACTAATATGGAATATTTAGTAAGTTAGACTTGTTCTGATGCACTCAAAAAATATTTCGTTTCATCAGTTGCTTAGTCTGACTAGGTTCCTTCTTTTGCCCTGAAATCTCAAAATACGATTGAAGGCATCTATAGAGTGCCAACTGATCCCGAAACGAAGATCTTCTCTGTTTCAATACCATTACCTTTTGTGACTATTATGAGGAATGAACTTAAATCTTAGCAGCTAGCAAACTAAAGACATTACTGAAGCATCCCTGAATAGAAACATGTTGATATGGTCATAAAGCTGTCAGGAGGAAAGGACATACTGCTAGCTCTGTTTTCAAACATTAGGCACAACAAGGAACACAATGGAAGAGAAGACTATGAAATACCTAGAAGCTAATAACAAAGCAAATACTGGAACACCCAATAATCCGCTACTGAATTTTCTACCTGTTGGAAATTTGGGTTGTCAGATCAGTCCTCAGATGCTAAACCATGGAAGAATTCTACTTGGTTTGATGAAGTACTGACTGTCATCAGAAACAAGATAGAGGAAGAGACAGCACGCTTTACACTGAATAAAAGAAAATCTCAGTATCTGAGTTCACTTCAAAGTGAATATTCACAACACAAATACACACAAATTACATACACACATGTGCAAAAAGCACATACAAATTTTGGAAGAGGAAGAAGAGGAAAAACATTGGAGAAATTACGAGATGGAAGAATGATATAAAAAATTGAATATTAAGATATTTATTTTTAACAAGCTCTGTGCTTTATATTCTTATCTGACTTTTGGTTTATATTGTTTAGTATTAGTTACTTATTGGTGTTGACACTGGTATGTATAGTGAAAATAATTGCTCACTTTCTACATTGAAATAGCCTCTCCCTTTACAAATTCTAAGTATACTTTTTTTTTTTTTTTTTTTTAAATAGGAAAATTAACCTATACTACCAGAAAAAAAATGGAATCTCCGGAGGGCATACATAACATACCGCTTTTTCTTTTCACTTTCTCTGGAATATAGATCCATGTAGCATTAGCAGAAATGCTTTGTCTAATGAATTTAAAATTTAAATTTTAAATCACCGAAAAAGACGACTTATTTTAAATAATATTAGTTTGACTCTGATTTTATAGGTCTTACTTTCAAGGAAAGACCAAGTCTCTTGTTTGTTAACCATTACATTGCTATTTGCTTATATGTTAACATTATGAAGAATTTGGCACTCTTCATTCCTATATAGGAGAACTCTATCGTTCTATAACATACAGCTTAACAGAAGCGCATTTATATTTTCAACATTTAAAAGGATTAATGATGCATTTTTCATTTACTCATTGTTTGCATCAAGCTTCATTTTAAGGAATATTTAAAAAAAATCTATGTATGGATAAATTTATAGGCATGTAAAAAAATAAAATCTTGCACAGACACAGGTAGATGAGAGGAAAAAAAATCATGAAACCTGCTTTCTAACTTGAATTTGAATAATTTTATTCACAACACTAGTATTATCCATACTTCTCAAACAAACCACACCTTTTAAGTTTGTAGAACTATGTATGTCGTAGATGATAAAAATGGTGTCTCAAGTGGTGTTTCAACTTCAACTTAGCTACTGAACTGAAATGAATATATATATATATATATACACACAGTAAAATGAAAGAAAAAATACCCCTGTTCTACAGAAGGGGAATCTGGCTTTGCACTTTAAACAAATTCTGGTTACAGGTTACAGACTTCAGCTATCTGAGTGATCCTGAATATTTAGTAGGAAATCTATGCTACTTGGATTTTATAAATTTTTTTTCAGCATAGATTATATTTAAGTCTTTATACAGATAAACTGTAATTGTGAATTTTAAAGTAAATTGAATTTAAATGTCTAAATAGAAATTATGCATGTTTTTACAGATCTGAACTTTATTTTATATTACTGCTGGGAAATACTTGCATAGGAATTTATTGGATACATCTGGTGCTACTGGGAGAATCCTGTTTTAGAGTTTTGCCTACTAATAGTGAAGATTTCATGGCATTGTTTACTTAAGTGGCTAATTTACAGGTAAAGGGAACTTCCTATAATTCTTCAGTACACAGTCATCTTTCTTTCCAAATGATTCAACTATTCTGCAGGAAACATTCACAGATGCTGTCATTATTGCCAATGTATTAAATCTCTTCCCAGATGAACTGCTCTTGTACATCTAGTATTTAAAAATGTAATACCCCATTCACATGTACTCTGCTATTGCTAGTTAACGTGGGCACTGCTACATTTAAGTACCACCTTATATGGATGTAAATATCAATGAATATTCTGCCTAGAATTCCTGATACAGATATTCCTCTTGCTAAATTTATCAATTTTTTAAAGTTAACTTTATTGTGAATGCTCTGATGCCTCTGCATAGCTTCATTATTTTCAATGCCTCTTTTCCAAGTCACGTCTTCTCAGTGAGCTCATACAATTACTAAACTGATGCTCTAGGCTGAATTACACAAGCCTGTCTAGGGATTAAATAGAAACAAACCGCAAGTTAAATAAAAAAAAGTCTTATATCAACATTTAAAAAAAAAAACAAAACCCCCCACCCCCCCCCCCCCCCAAAAAAAAAACAACCAACCAACCAAAACAAAAAAACCCAACAAACCACCAAACAAAAAAACCCAAAACCAACAACAAAAAAAATCAATCTCACAAAAAAAAAATCCCAGCAAAAAACTTGCGATTTTCAAGAGAAACATACATACATGTAAGAATAGTGTTTATTTAACAACTTTGGTTTAAAAACAAAAACCCTTCCAAATTTACTATCTACTTCACTTTATTTTAGACTGTGGTAAAAGACCACCTACCCAAAATGTTTCCTACCACCTGCCAGCCTGCACAGCTGTGCAGATTGCACTGGAATCAACTTGCTCAGGCAGATGGAAATCTGATTCAAAATTAACAGACTTTCTTTTTTCTTTTTAGCCCTCTTTTTCTCGTCTATGGACATAAAAAACTTTTCAGTTTTAAATTAATATAGCAATAAGAATTCATTTGCTCCATTGTACAGTCTAAAGAAAAAGCTACTTTAAAGTTGTCTGAATAAAGTTTTCTGTCTTTTGTTGTGCAGAAGTACAAACTGACAACATGCTTGCGGAGTGATTTGATCAAACACATTCACCTACACAGTGAAAATATTTTAAGGGGTTACGTAGCAGTACTATAAAACCATACAAATGTAAA